AATAATAATTATCTCACAATCACCATAATTTCTTTTTTCTATTGCAAAAAAAAAAAAAAAATAAAAAAAAAAATAAAAAATAAAATAAAAAAAATATAGTTTTTTTTTATTTTTTTTATTTTTTTAAGTTGTTGCGCAAAACTCACTTTCAATCCTTTTTTTTTTTGCTATTACACACAATTATTTAATTAATTAAATAATCTAAAGAAAAAAAAAAAAAAAAACACAACAGCAATAATAAATAGTTAATTTTAATTATTTAATTATTTATTTAATTGTTAGTTTATTTATTAATAATTTATTTATCAATAATTTATTTTGTCAATTTGTCGGGTGTTTCCATTTTTTAAAAAATAAAAAAAAAAAAAAATAAAAAAAAAAAAATAAAAATCTTTTTTTATAAATACTGGTTGTTGTCTTTTGATAAACAAAGTAAAAAGTATTTATTATTTTTTTTTTAATTGTTTTATAATTATTTAATTGTTTTTTATTATTTTTTTGTTCATTCATTCATTATACAAAATAACTGACAGGGTTTTTGTCTTTCTATCGATCTATAATTTTTTTATTATTTTATTTATTTAAAATAAAATTTATTCAAAAATTTTAAAAAAAAAAAAAAAATCAAAATCCTTTAAAAATAAAATAAAATTTATTCAACCAATCTTCCCTCTTTTAATAACAACATAAAAGTAAAAGTGGTAAATAATAATATCAATATATATTTATTTATAAATATATATTATAACCCAGTTTTAAAAATATCATCTTTATAAAATTATACACGATACAATCAATTTTTTATATCTATAAATAACAAAATGGAGTTTCAAGAAGCACTAAAATATATTCCATCTGGTTCAATTAATAGTAATCCAAGTTATAAATTTATATGGAAAAAAGTATGTCGGTTTATAATTATTATTTTATTTTTTATAGTTTTTTTAATTTATAAAAATTTAATTTCATTTTATTAATTTTTTTTTTTTTTTTCAATTTTAAAAATAAAGATTCAACAATATAGTCAAGAAATAAACTCTTCATCATCGCTTTTATTAAGTGATTTATTGTCGAGTCGTCATGACCTTTCTATTATATTTGAAAAATCATTAATGATATTTTTAATGATCGAAAGTTTCAGTAAGCAATACTCCAACTCAAGTTTTTTACAACAAATCATTAATCAACCAATATTCCAATCACAACAAAAATCGTCCGAATTGAATCAAATTTTATCAGATTCAAATAATAAAGAATCATTAAAATCTTTATTTCATTTTTCATCAAATTTAAATTTAACAAAATTTATTTCAGATAGTTTAAATAATTTAAATTTAAATAATAATATTAATAATAATAATAATAATAATAACAATACTAATAATGTTTATAATAATGGTCAATCATTTAATAGTTTTTTAAGTTATGAAAACATATATGGTATTAATCCAAATAGTAATAATAATAATAAAATTGTAAATACACAACAACAACAACAACAACAACAACAACAACAACAACAACAAATTAATGTTATATCTAACAACTATAACAATAATAACACACAAGTAGCCGCTGCAATTCCCCAAAACTTAAATGAAAAGGAGTATCAAATTTATCAGTTACAAAATAGAGTTCAACAACAATTACAACAACAATACATTCAAAAACAACAACAACAACAAATCAATAGTCAAATTGCTCAACATATTTCCAAAGCAATAAATTCTAATGGTAATATAACGTTAGCAAACCAACCCACTTTAAATAGTAATAATGCATCTGTTAATACCAGTCCTGAATCAACTACCGTCACTACCCCAGCAACTATAATATCCTCTTCTAGTATTGCAAGCTCCTCCGCCAATACCACTACCAACAATAGTAATAACAATAGTATTAAAATTATAAATGAGGATGGTATTTCAACAAATAAAAGAAAAAGAAGACCAAGAGCACCAGCTCCATTTTTAGATTCTCTTTATTGTCATTCTTGTGGTGAAACTCAAACCTCTCAATGGAGAAGAGGTCCTGATGGTTGCAAATCCCTTTGTAATGCTTGCGGTATAAGATTTGCAAATATTGTTAGTAAAGAGAGAGCTTTAACTGTTAAAGAAAAAAACATTTCAATTGGTGCTTTATTAAACGAAAGTGCTTCATTATCATCATCATCATCACCATCACCACCACAAACTACAAACTTTATAACATCATCTGCATCATCAACCAATAATACACCAAATATATCACCAAACCTTAGATCTGTTGACGATAAAGATCTTTTAAATGTCATAAACAATCAACAATCACACCCCATTAAAAATTCTAACCAACCAATTGAAGGTTTTCCACCAACTTTATTAGCCAATCACAATACAATCTCACCATTACCAAATCATCACTTATCATCCTCATCAGATTCTATTGAGCTAATAAATAATAATAATAATACTTATAACAACTTAACCGAATATTTACCTCCACCACAACCTCAAACATCAGCTCAGCATAGAGTTTCTGGTGGTAAAAGAAAATTTGAAGAGAATCCAGAATATTTGGATGCACTAACAACAATTGCTTCAAACGAATCCTTTTTAAATCAAATTAATGGCACAAATGTAAAATTATAACAATTATTGATAAATTTTAGTTGTTATATTGTATTACTAGTAGTGCCATCGTATAATATTCTGGCGTGTCATCATTTATTATAATTATCATAAACTATAATAAAATTATTTATTTATTCAAAAAAAAAATTGTTTTAACTCAAAATTTAATTTTTAACCTTTTTTTTTGAAAATTGTGTGTTTGATCAACTTACTTTTTTTTTTTTGATCATCCCGAATTTTTTTATATATAAAATATTTTTTCTCACTTTTTTAAAAATTAAAACAAATAATTATTTTATCATAATGTATTAAATATCCAAAAAAAAATAAAAAATAAAAATTTAGGTTATTATTTTTCTGAATTTTTCTTTTTTTTTATTTTATTTTTTTTTATTTTTTTAATTTTTATTTTTTATTTTTTTTATTTTTTTATTTTTTAAAATTTTTTTTTTTTTTTGTTTAAAATTTTTTTTTTTTTTTTTATTGTTTTATTATTAACACTTTATATACTTTTTAAAAATGAATAAAATTTTAATTGCTTTATTATTTTTCTTAGCTATTGTTTCAAGTATGTTAAATAAAAACAAGAATAATAAATTATAAAACAATAAAAAAAATAATAATAATTGGCCAAAAAAAATTATAATAATAAAAAAAGAGAATAATAGTTTTTGATCAAAAACCATTTTTATATAATAAATTTTTATATAAAAAAAAAACATATCTCACAAATAAAAATAACAATAAAAAATATAAAAACTTTAAAAAATAAAAAAAATAAAAAAATAAAATTTTATTATACAATACCGGCTCAATATTATTTTTTATATGGGACAATCGGAAAAAAAAAAAAAATAAAAGAAAAAAGTACTAATTAATATTTTCTTTTTTATAATATAGTTGCTACATCTCAAAACTCAACCGAAACCTCATCATCAGCTGCTAGTTCAACTGCTGGTTCAACTGGTAACAATAGCACAGTTGGTACCTGTCAAACTTTCACTACTTGTGATGATTGCAGAGAAGACAGAGGTTGCGTTTGGTGTCCATCAAGTGCCGTTTGTACTGATGGTACCTTCTACGGTTCAAAACCATTAGAAACCTGCAAAGATTTCATGTGGATGCAATGTAAAATTCAAGGTCGTTGGGCAATTTTAATTGTTGCTGGTACAGCTCTTTTTATTATCATCACATTCTTTATTTGCATCTGTTGTTGTTGTTGCAAGAGAAAATCAAGAAGATCATCATACACTATTCAAGACGAAGAAAACGAACGTCTTATTTCACGTACTCCAAAGACCGACCAAAGAAGAGAAGAACTCAGAAGAAAATACGGTCTCGGTAACAAGAATAACAATAACAATTCCGATCAATGGAGATAAATTAATATTTAACATATTAATTTAATTTTTTTGAAAAAAAAAAAAAAAAAAATACATATTGTAAATGAAACACTTCTTTAAAAGCATCAACATTATAATTTATATTTTATAATTTACAATTTAATTTATAAAATATAAATTAAAGAAAAAAAAAAGAAAAAAAAAAAAAAAAAAAAGTAATAATATACCCCTTTCAATAATTATAATAAAAAATTTATTTGTAAAAAAAAAAAAAAAAAAAAATTTATTTGGTAATATAGATGAACATCCCTGTTGCCAATTTCCTTGTGTTATTTATATTTTTTTTTCTTTATTTATTCTAAATTTATTTAAATTTCATTTTTTTGGATCTCTTAATATTTTTTTTTTTATTTTTTTTTTTTTTTATTTTTTTTTTTTAATTTAATTAACCTTAAATAATTTATAAACAATATTTTCCTTAAATAAAACATATAAATAATAAAAAAAGACATGCATTCTTTTGATATTGATAAATTAAATACATTTGATGTTAGATTTAATAATAAAGTTCGTGACAAGCCAGAGCATGAATATGAATTGTCAATTAAATCTTTCATTTCAGATACAAAAATACCAAGTGCAATGATATCTAATGAATCATATGAACCTGTAAAGGTTCCAGACCTTTATCCACCAGATTCATTATTTGTATGTGAAATATCTGTTAAAAATAAAGGTGGAAATGGAACATATGTTGCATATGGAGATGTTCATTTCAAATACAACCCATCCAACAAAGAGGTAGAATTCTTGACCACTCCAAGTTTTCCAAAGAATTTAGATATTAAAAAAGATATTAAAGATGGTTTAACAATAACCATTAATTATGAAATGTTATAAATATTAAAAATAATAAAAAAAATAAAAACTATAAATTTTTATAAAGTTTTGTCTAAAAGAAAATTATTTATTATATTTTTTTATTTTAAAAAATAAATTTTTTTTTTTTTTAATTATAATCTTCATCTTGATCGAACTCGATTGAAGATTCTAAAGATTTGTTTTTGTTTGATGGTTTTGTTGGAGTTGAATCACCACCAGATTCATCGGAAAAGTTTTCATCATCTGATTCGTTTTCATCAATTTGTTGAGGTTGTTGGATTTGTTGGTCACTATCGTCGGATTGATCATAATCATCGTTATCATATTCATTGTCATCATCTCCTTCTTGATCGATTTCAGGTGGTCTGTGAGCTACAACTTTTTTATTTTTTGATGGTGGAGAGGGTTCTTCGTCGTCTGATGAGAGAATTTCCATTGGTTTATCTTCTGTACCATAGCCATCAGAGAAATCTGGTGCAAATGTTTTGTTTTCTTCATAGCCTTCATCATCGTCGTATTCTAATCCTTCATCGTCCTCTTCTTCCTCTCTTTCTCCTTCTCCTTCTCCTTCTTCATCATCTTCCTCGTCTTGTTTATATTGGGATTTTGGTTTTGATAACATTGAGAATTGAGCAAACTTTGGTGGTTCCTTACCACCATGTTCAGGTCTCTTAATATCTTTAAATGGATCATCAGAATTTTCGTCATACTCTTCATCATATTCAACAATTTCTTCATCTATTTCTTCATTGCTTAATTCTTGTCCCTCTTCTTGATCTTCTTCCTGTTGCTGTTGTTTTTGTTGTAAAAATTGTGAATATTGTTTATTTTGATCAGGTTGATCATCAGCATCATCATCGTGAATAATCATATCATCATCGTCGTTGTATTCTTCATCTTCGTCATCCTCATCATTCATAAATCTTCTATTTTGTTGTTGTTGTTGTTGTTCTTCTTCTTCTTCTTCTTCTTCATCCTCATCCTCTTCATCATAGTCTTCATCTTCATCGTCTTCATAGTCTTCATCTGAATTATCACCATAATATTCGAGATCGTCTAATGATGGAATTGGATACTCTTGATTTAAACTTTCTTTAAATCTTACATGATTTTTTTTAGATGAGCTACTACCACCACTGCTACTTATTGATTTTAATGCCGATTTTAGACCACTTGGTGATGAGAATGGTGAGGAAGTGTATGATAATGGTGATTGTTGTTGTTGTTGTTGTTTTTTTTGTTGGTCAAGTTGTTCTTTTTGTAATTCAAGTTGTTTTTGAATTAATGCTCTTTTTCTATCTTCAAGTTCCTGCAACATTCTAATTTCTTCAGCTTCTTTTTGTTTTCTTAAATCTTCTTTTTCTTTTTCCTTTTGAATTTCCTCTCTTTTCTTTTGTTCTTCCATTTCAAAAAGTTTTTGTTGGATTTCCATCTTTTCCTTCTTATCATCTTCAGATTTCTTTGTGAGTGCTTCTAAATTTGATACTGGGGCAGTTGAGAGATTTGATGAGAAATAAACTGATTCATTATAAAGTTTTGGAGTTGGTAGATTTGAAATAATTGGCTTTTGAATGAATGATTGTGGTGGTGCTAATGCCGATTTATTAATAGTAATTGATTGCTTTGAAATGGTTGCTGATCTTGGAAGTAATGGAATATCATCAGAGTTATTATTAGATTGTTGTTGATTATTGTAAAAGTTTGATGGTTTTTGAATTGATGGTAACGATTGTTCATAATTTAAAATGAGATGATTAATTGTGTCATAGCCATCAAAGAAGGAGTTGTTTCTTGCAGTGGAGGATTGATATCTATTAATTTTACATGCTTCTGGAATACGACCTCTCTTAAGATAAAACATTGAAATTAATGATGAGGCTTGATTGATGAAGAGATATTGAATGAAAACTTGTTCTTCGGTTTCATCTAAAGGCATATCAATTATTAAATCCAATTTCTTTAAATCTAAAGATAAATTAAAGATTGAAAATAATAATGATTCGACGGATTTTAATGGTAAATCAGAGAAACGAGCTCTAAAACTACGTTGGAAGAGAATTGCTTCTAAAATTGCATGATTTGCTAAAAGAATTTTAATGTAAAGAGATGCTTCATCGAAATTCTTTGGTTCGAAACCCCATCCTTTCATTAAAAGTTGAGCATAGTTCATAAATCCAAAGCTATAAAATCTTGAAAGTATTGGATAGAGGAATTTCTTGGTTATACTTGATGAATTTAAAAGTGTAAAGGCGCTATTAATTTCTTCGATTAATTCTCTGTTATTGTTGTTGTTTTTGCTTTGTTCTAATAAATAGTTATCTAATTTCCAAATACCCATGATAAAGCTATAGTACTTGTTTGTAATTTTAAATGAACCAAGGAATGACTTTAATGTTTCGGATGAATGAATATTTTTAACTTCACTTGATACAATTTCAAGATCGATTAATAAATAGAAAAAGAGAGCAATTTTCTTTTTAAATTGATTTGCATTTGAAAAGATTTCAATAAAATTCTTTAAGGTTGTAGTTGAATGTGGTGGATAAACATTGACAGAGTGATCCATATTAATGGTTTCGTAGAATAAATCTATTAAGAGTTTATCATTGGTTGTGGTGGCGCTTAATTCAGTTGATAGTTTTTCACGAACGTCCTTTCTTTTTTGGGCGGTAATTAATCTTACTTTCTCCATATTGGTTAAATTTTGAGAGCTAAAGAAACCAAAATTCATACTCCATTTTAATACTTCGATAAAGAGAGCCATATTGATTGCTTGATCTAATTTGTTCTTTAAGTTTTCAGGTATATTTGCCGAGGTACTATTGGCAATTACCATTGAATCTTCGTTGTGGTTATTTGTTAAAGAGTTGTTATTACTATTTTGTTCGATGATGTATCTATCAATTAAAGTTCTAAAGATACGAACAATATCAACAACCTTGACGTAAATAGTTTCAAATTGCTTTTGGGTATTGCTAGAGATTGTTTTAGAAAATAATTCATTTAAATTGAAACCACTTTGAATTCTTTCAAAATGACTCCAAAATAAATCTAAAATGAGTTTAGCATTTGATGATCTATAGTTGAGAATATAGTCAGTGATGATTGATAAAAGGTTGTTATTTAATGAAAAGATCATTAAATCATTCTTTTGCTTTTGTTTATCGGTAACAGCAACATTGGTTTGAGTAAAGATTTGAGTGTCGATGAAACGCTGATAGGTTGCTTGAGGATGCTCGAATATGATTGCACCTTTATCGGATAATTCTTTAACTAGACGTTCTTGTGGGTTTAAATAGTCGATTAAATCAACAGAGTTAAAGGTTAATAATTTGGCTTTAAAGTTTGGATGATGGATTGAGAGTGATGCATCTAATCTTCTTTCTCTTTGTTGCTCTGGGATTAGTTTATTGGTATTATTTTCATCTTGATAGAGAGTATTATATGATACTGAGTCTTGGTCAAGCCAGAATGAATGGAAACTTGTATTTAAATCACTCTTTATTAATTCAATATTGTGTAACCATACTTGCTTATTGGTTTGTGAAAATCCGTATCTGTCAAAAAGTGCTAAATCAAATAACTTCATATCGATTTTTGGTAAACCATCATTATTAATATATTGATAGGTAATAATTGATTTGGATTTTGGGAATTTACCTGTGTCAACTATAAAAAAAATTGATATTAATAATTTTTTTTTTATTTAAATATTTAAATTTATAATATACATACCATCAATATCTTTATTTTGATAGAGATATGAAAGTGATAAAATTTCACCAGGATAGGGATTATCGTTATTTGCATGAGCTAAATCTAATGGGGATTCTATATTTTGTTCGAGTGAAATTAAAGTGCTTAGGGATTTTGATGGATCAGGTGCCATTTGATCAAATATTAGTTTATAAAGAATTATTGAAATTGGGTGAGTTGTAGAGTATTGGTTCATTGAGCCTCTGCCAATCCATAAATTTCCAATTGGTGATTCTTCACCCTCGTCTAATTCTTGGTAGAGAATATGGGTAACTGGTGATTGACGGTGTGGTGCAAATGAACTCTCTCTGAGTGGTGAGCAATAAAATAATTTGAAATTTATCGATGAAAATAATTGGAATGTGCCAATACTGTAACCTACGGCGATGGCATGAATTGATTCAATATAGAAAATTGAACTAATTTGACAGTTTTGTTGTGGTTGGTGTGGTTGGTCATTATTATTCTTTAATGTTTGTTGTGTTGATCCTGTAGTTCCAATTAAAATTCCTTGTGAATCACCATTCTTTGAAACTGGATATTCAAAGTTTACATTTGGCTCAAATTGATCACAACCCAATACAAAATATGGGATTAATTTATTAAGATTGTTTATACTTGAACTTTTGAAGAATTGAATACAATCATAATTTGATATATCTTGTAAAATTAATTGTTGAATTTTACTTGATGATTCAATCTATAAAAAAAAAAAAATAATAAATATAAAAATTAATACTTTACTAAAAATTAAAGTTGTAGTGTATATAGTTAAAACATACGCTTTTATCTTTTGGATTAAAATATAAATCTAAAATGATAATTTGACAACTATTTTGAAAACCTAAAGCTAATGGTGATTTGAAATTTCTCATTGAGTCTCTTGGTGCATCAGGATACAATGATTCTCTATGAATTTGTTTAATAAAATTAACATTTGATGAACCAATATCGATTGTTCTAATTACATCACCTGATTGAATATCTAAAACCTTTAAAAATGTTTTATTATTATCATATTTAATAGTTGCAACTAAAAACATTGAGTCTTCTATAAATAATTCGCCAACTGCTGAAACATATAACTATTTAAAAAAAAAAATCAAAATTAAAATTATTATTTATTATTTTATTAATTATATTATTATATTAACATACTTCTTTTGATTCTTTAACGAAACACCATGTTGTAATTCTTTTACCAGTATTTAGTTCATAAAAGAATATTTCATTATCTTTGGTATACCAACAATAATTACCATCAGATGTAATGTGGCTTTTTAAACCAAATGGATTTATGGTATCATTGTCTTCTTGGTTTGGTGCTTGAAATTGTTGGTCGATTGATGGATAGAGTGATTTTGGTGTTATCATTGATTGAAACATCATTGGCGCTACCATCTCGTTCCTTTTTTTTTTTTTTAAAAAAATAATAATTATTATATATAGATAGTGATTATAACAATAATAAAATTGGATTTTATAATTATTGTTTTTATATTATAATTTATAAAAAACAAATTTTATCCAATTATTTATTTATTATTTTAAAAATAAAAAAAAATGAAAATAAAAATAAAAAAAAAAAAATGAAAAAAAAGTAAAAATTTTTGAAAAAAAAAAAATAAAAAAAAAAAAAAATGAAAATGAAAAAAATAATTAAAGGGGTAAAATCAATTGTGGGTTTGAATTTGAAAAAATAAATAAAAAATTATATGATCAACAAATAAATAAAAAAACTAAAAATAATAATTTTCCGTATTATAATTTGAACGCATCAAATGTTTTATTGGAAGATCAATTTTGTAAGTTATTAAAAATATAATATTTTCATAAATAAGATAAAAAAACAAAATATTAATATTTTTTAATTTTTATTCAATTTAGATTAAATGATTATGAAAATGCATTTTTAGGTTTAGAGCCAAGATTATCTGATTATATTAGACAGTTTTCAGATAAGATTGATCCAGATGTTTTATAATTTGGTTGTTTATTATTTGAAATGGTATGTGGCTATAGAATTGGAAAACCCACATTCACTCTAAATTCGTTTTCCAGCACATTGTTCAGTTGAAGTCAAAATTAGAAGCAATCTTTTAACCATCTATGGTACACCAATTACATTGGAGGTGCTATTCCACCACCTCCAGCTGATATTAGTAGAAGAAGGAATGTACTTTAAAGTTCAAATAAAAAAATAAATTTCTAACCCCACATTTTTTTTATAAAATTTTAGTTTACTGTCATCAATTGAAGGTTTTTTATCAACAAAACTTAAAATACAGAAGTGGCGCAAAACTTTAATAAATTAAATATAAATATAGATATAAATACAGATATAAATACAAATAAATATCAATTTTATTTTTATTTTTAATTTTTTATAATTTTTATTTATTTTATATTAGTAGTATTACTACTAATGAGATTTATTTTTATTTCATAAAATTTTTTTCTATAATAAAAAAGATTCGAAAAACGGTTAAAATTGATTAGTTATGAATGATACCTTTGATATTAAATATAAACAGTTTGCAAACTGTTTATTAATTTCAAAAAAGAAATAAACAAGCAAAAATTAAACTTCCTAAAAAAATTGTAGATAAACCTTATTACATATTAGTTTTGTAAATTTTTTAAAAAAAAAAAATCTGTTTTATCTTCTTTTACTTATGCATTTAAAAAATTTGGAATTTTATTAAAAATTACAAATAATTATAAATAGTTGTTATTTTTTGATAATAAAAATAAAATAAAAGAAGTTTATTGGGTGGTTTAAATCTGGAAAAAAACTTAAATTGATTTTTTTTTTAAAAAATATATTGAAAGAGATGATTATTCTCTGTTATCATATAAACCCCTTTTTTTAGAAGGGTGTGGGTTGTTTTTTTATGAACTGTATTTAGTTTTATTTTAAACCTCTCAAAATTATATTAACACCCAAAATATAATTTATTGCAATTAGATTTAAAAAAAAAATTATAAATACCAAAATTTTTTTTTTTAAAATCAATTCATTCATTCAAATATATTAACTATACTTTAATTCTTTAAGCTTTATAAAAATTTAAATAAAAAGTAATTATAAAAATTAAAATAAAAAAAAAATAAAAAAAAAAATATTAATTAGTTTTTATTTATTGTTTTCAATAAAATAGTGTCAGAAACTTTGATTGTTCGTAAGGATTCTTTTTTTTTTATTTTTTAATATTATACAATAATTTTTCTAATTTTTTTCCGTTTCTTTTATTTTCTTTTTAATCAGACCCAAAACAATATTATAATGAAATTGTAGGTAATTTATTTAAAATATTTAATTAAAAAATAAACTAACATAATCTTAGCCAACTTTTTCAGATAAAACAACATTTTTCAAATTTGAAGTTGAAGGTGGTGGTGCAGGTGGTGTTCAACTTATATTTGAGACAAATCCACCACAAATGCATAGAATTTTCGATTCTCTTGAACTCCCTATAAATAATAATGGAGATAGAGTAACCATCATAAATGTCGGAGATTCAACCTTTAAATTTAGTTCCAATTTTAATTAAAAAAGAACATTTTAAATTAATAATTGAATTCATTTTTAATTAATAGAAAAAATCAAATTTTTTATTCATTCAAATTTAAATAATAAAATTAAAATGCCTATTTATTGGCATAAAAAAAATAGTAATTTAATTTTAATATTATATTTAGTTGTTTTAATTAAAACAGGATTGTTGTTGTTGATATTATTGTTTTGGTTATTTGATTTTGAATCGCTTGATTCTAAAATTATCAAATAAATAAATACGATTATATTTTATAAATAAGATAAAAAAAATTTAAAATTAAAAATTTTTTTTTAATCTCTTTTATTTTTGTCTTTATATCTTTCTTTTGAACTTTTTCTACTTCTTTCTCTATCCCTATCCCTATCCCTATCCCTTTCTCTATCCCTATCTCTATCCCTATTCTTATCTTTTCTTTCTCTTGATCTACTTTTATGTCTTCTGCCTCTACTCCTTGAACGTGATCTTTCTTTATTTCTATACCCTCTATCTCTTGATCTTTCTTTTGATCTATCTCTTGATCTATCTCTTGATCTACTATCTCTATCTTTTGATTTATCTTTGTATTTGCTTTCACTTTTTCCTCTTTCTCTTGATCTTGATTTTGAAGATTCATTTGTTTGAAAACTTCTTCTTCTACGGTTATGACGATGTTCTTCATTGTTTTCATCATTGTCATCATCATCATCATCATTACTATAGTCACTACTATTTTCGCTATCACTATATTTTTCCTTCTTTCTTTTCTTTTTCTTTTTCTTGTCACTTTTATCGCTGTCATACTCTTCTTGTAATAGTTTCTTTAGTTTATCTTTCTTTATATTTGAATATTTATCGTTATTGTATTCTTTGTTATTTCTATCTCTATAATCTCTATCCCTATAGTCTCTATCTCTGTCTTTATTTTTATGACTATTATTACCAATTGATTTACTTGTTGGGCCAATATATTTTAAGCATTCCTCCATCGAAACACCAGAATCTTTCATCTTAACCAAAGTTGCTTTAAAATATTTGTCAGCATTTGAATCATTTGGGTCAATGCTGAGTGCCTCTTTAAAATTGTAAATTGCTTTTTCAAATTGTGAGTTATTTGCATAAACAGCGCCTAATGCAACATAAGCATCTTTATGATTATGATCAACATTTAAGGCTTCCTTATAGTATTCTATTGCCTTTTCAAATTGACCTGCTTTTGCATATTTTATACCAGTTTGAACTCTTTTTATAAAATAATAAAGTTAATATTTATCTTTTTAATAAATTTATAAATTATAATAGTATAAACTTACGAATTTTGAGACCAAATAAAGTTTTGATGGGATCTGAGAGTCTCTTTTAAATCAGAGGGGTATGTTGAGTTATAAGGTATCATAGTATCGAGTTGTTTGATTGATAGCGATTTGCACATAGTATCACATGACCATGGATTATTGAATAGTGGATCTCTTTCTAAGATGCCAATAATATTGGTAAATCCTAGTTGAAGAAATTGTTCAGCTGGGTTGTACTTTCCTAAATATCTATATAGTGTATTGTTATTATTACTACTGCTATTATTAATTATATTTGAAACTCTGGAGATATCGAAACTTAATTGAATATCTTGTTTCTCTTTATCAATTGATATTATTATTGCTCTTACAAAATCACCGACATCATAATAATTTACATCCTTAAGCATACTACGTGAAAATTCTTCTGTACTTATGGTTGCTTTAATATGATATTGTGATATTGCATCAAACTCAAAGGGAATACTACTATTATCATTACTGCTATGATTACTATTCTGATTACTACTATGGTTTCTATTATCAGTATTGTTCATACTATCATAAATATCTATTATCTTTAAAATTTCAACACCTAATAAACCTTTATTATAATCTTTCCATAAAATGTTTCCTGCTACCAATATAGAGTTGACAGCACTACTACTACATTTATCATAAAACAAGGTGTATAACATCTAAATAATTCGAAAAAGGTGTTAATTCTTTTTGTAAAAAATGGATATTTGGTACATATACATTATTATTTATGTGTTTAGATGATTTTTATGGTTTCATGTATGTTTCTTATTTGTTATTTTTAGGTTACATACGTTATAAATATCTTTTGATTGTAGTTTATCTTTATCTTGAAATTGTTTAATTTTCAAAGCATCATAATATTTTGGTATATGACAAAAACCATTAGGTATATTATTGATAAAACTATTATTATTGGTGTTGGTTGTGGTTGTGGTTGCTATGGAGCCGCTAAGAGGTGACTGAACTTTTAACAAATCGATTTTCCTTTCTATAAAACTTAATAGCGATATAGAAGTTATTTCATTTTTATTATTATGTTGGATATCATTATTACTGTCATTGTTTTTATCATCATCATTATTATTGCTGTTATTGTTATTGTTATTGTTATTGTTACGGTTTTGATTGGTATCTATATCCATTTCATTTTTTATCACACAAAAAAAAATTCTTATTTCCCCAACAAAAATTAAAAAAAAAAAAAAAAAATTAAAATTTTTTTTTTTTTTTTTTTAATTTATTTATTTTAAATTAAATTTTTTTTTTTTTCATTTATAGATTATTTTTTCCTATTTTTAGAAATAGTGAATTTATAATATTTAAATATTTAAACAACAAATCTCATAAATATTTAAAAGATAGTAAAAGAGCCTTTTCTAGTAAATAATTCCTTATGAAATTTAATAAAAGATAATTTTCTTAATATGTTTTTAATATGGTTTAATAATGAGATACTATTAAAATAAGCAATTATTTTTTTAGATATGATAGATAGGTATATATCTTTAGTAATTTTAATACTTGCATCTGTGATTATTAAATAATAAACATCCTTTTTAATTTTTTCATAATCATATTTATGTATACTTGTGTCGTATTTTTATATAAAGTAATATCAAAAATAAAATAAAAAAAAACCCGCCATATTTTATCATATCATATCATATCATATCATTATAAAATAAATTAAAAATATTAAAATATTAAACAATAACAATGAAGAAAAATATAAAAATAGATTAAAAAAAAAAAAAAAAAAAAAAAAAAAAAAAACCAAAAAAAAAAAAAAAAAAAAAAAAAATAAATTAAAAAAAAATCCCGAAAAAAAAAAAAAATCCAAAATTTTTTTTTTTCCAAAAAAAATTTTTTAAAACCACCTTTACCTTTTTTAATTTTTTTTTTTTTTTAAAATTTTTTTAACCGAAACATCCCCCCCCTTTTTTGAAAAATTAATGGTTCTTTTCCCCTTAAAGGGTTTAAAAACTTTGGTTAATTTCCCTTTTTTGGGCAACCAGGGGGAAAAAAAAAAAAAAATTAAAAAAATTTGTTGGGCGGGTTTCCAATTTTAAAAATGAAATTTTTTTTTTTTCCCCAAAAAAATAAAATTGGGTTAAAAAAAAAAATTTAAAAAAAACGTTCCTTTTTAAAAAAAAAAACCCT